CCATCGCTTTTAATGAATTCTTCAATGACAAAAATTTTGGTGGTACAGCCTTTATTATCATTTTCATAAGAGTTTTAAACGGACTTTTTAAAACACAGATAATGGTGGTGACAACTTTTTCACTCACAAATTTTTAAAATACCATTTTATTATCCAAATTTATATTTCGACAGCGAGTAAACACGGTCAGATGTTATGGGCTTTTGTGAATCGAGAGGAGATAAATGACGTTTTTGATAGTAGCATGTTGAATTTGGGACTGATAGAATTAAAATCAATTAAGTGAGAATGGTGGTGTAACAAAACCCATAATTGTTCGATTGTCTACGATGGGTGGGTCCGGAAGTAGGGTTTGAGAGATTTTAACGAGTGATGATCGAAGAAAATAATGATGATGGTTTGAAATTATATTAATACGGAATCGAAAACAAAAATATAAATTTAGATAATAAAAATAAAATTTTAAAAGTTTATTGCTCGCTCTTCTCGGTGGCAGACTGGACATGGCTGTTTCTATCACATCCGAAAATATAAGTCAGGAAATTAATTGATGACACACTACAGACCCAATAGCAGCATATGACTCATATTGGCATTAGCTGTAAAAAAGCAATTTAACGTAGAACTTAAATGGAGAACCACGCAAATCTAGTAGGTCAGGTTCAATACTCACAATTCAACAGCTATGCGTGTTTTTTGCGTGTGTGTGGGCTCACAAAACTACAGGAATCCTTGGGTGTTTTTTTTTTTCTTTTTTCTTTTTGTAGACGACAGGCCGACCCAACTCAATGGCTTTCTTTTCTGTGCTGTGGCTTTTCGTTCAGCTTCCTCGGTTCACCGTTGCCACCATACAAAGGTTGCCTGCAACACTATAAACACGACAACAATCAGCAGCTGAATATTATCACATTAGGACCTTAAATCTATATGAAAGTTTAGTAATATCTATTTTATAACACGAGTGAAATGTTTCAATCGTAGCCATATTGCATCACCAATATAGCTTGAAGTTAGTTTTATAAAGTGATCGTGTATAAGAACTGTCGCTTAACGGAAAGGCTTCACTCATCACTTTCTTACAGGCGCTCTAGCAATTGAAAAAGCAGTAGATTCTACTAAAATACTGTTCATGAAAACAAAAGAAACGAAACCGAGGAAAGACGGAAGTGCAGAGAGAAACTTCCTGCTGTATATCATGATGATGCCAATGATACAAATATATACCAATAACCAAAGAATATGCTAACTAACTTATCCACCATACAATGGACAAAACTACCCTTATGTGCAGCTCATACAGAGCGACAAATAACAAAAAAAAAAAAAACAGTGACAGAATTCAGATAACCATGCCATCATTCTCTTCGTTGCACGTAGGGGCTGTGATGATTCATCCTCTAATAGTTCAAAATAACGTCTGAGCGAGGGGACCGTGTAAGTTAAACTCATTCTAAATAAAGCTTGACCAGAAACTCCATAAATGCGTTTAGTACAATTTAGTTAATCTCCAGCATATTAACATAAAATATTTGCTTCGTCAATAAAGAACAGGACTGAAGGCGAAGTTCGAGTTTTCCATTCAGTCCCCAAAGCTGTAATTTAAAAAAAGAAAAAAAAGAAATAACACCTAAATACACAAACAATTAATAAAACTTTAGTTTTACTTCGAGGTAACAAAATCAAGAACCAGGACCCACCTCACAGAAGAAACCGACTCTGAACAAAAGCCAAAAACAAGTTTTTTGACGACTTCTCTTTGATATTACGGCCTCTGGCACCAAGTGATGCTATCTGAACTAGAGTGTATATACACCAGGACCGATAATATGATATTACAGGCTCCATTGACCGCAGGCTTGACTTGACACTGCCTAATGACTGGGCATAGGAATGTATATCAGTTAATTTATATGTGTTTCGCCCATTGACGGATTGTCTGGCCTGCAAGCCTTTCCCATTTCTCGTTGTATGGTTACGATTTGGTAAAGAAGTTTCCCACTCTAATCTTTATCGGCTGCCTTCCAAACAATACCAAATGCCTGGGGAAGGACAGTGCACAACAGGGAAAATAACAAAGTCTCCAAGCCTGCTCAATGAAGCACTGTTCTTCAGGCCTACAATGGAAAAGCAGTGCCTGTACTATCAACTGGATTCCTGGTCATCTTCCAAAAATTTGCACAGATTTCCTTTAGCAAACAGATTGATTCAGTATGGAATCATTTTTATGTTCAAATTCATACATATTCATCAGAAAATTCCTTGAGGTTGACGGGATCTTTTTTGATTCACCATGCATTCAAAATAATTCCATGAAGTTCTGTAGTGTACACAAGTTAAGGAATGCATTTAGATCTTAAGTCTTGGCTATGCATCGTAAACAATCGTCTTGGGGGCTGGGCCGACAAGAAGAAGTGCATGAGGACACTCTTCAACAGATCCGTCCTAGAGCAAGAATTCTTGCCCAAACGGAGGTGCATCAGCATAGAATATGAGAAACCAAAACACTTAAATTCTCACAGATGCGCAACCTCTACCACCATATCGTAATCAAGCAGTCATGCAACACCAATAAGCTTTGTCACCTCGCAAAGACATAAATACCAGGAAACAATGGCAAAACTTGTAGCCAAAAATTTCTAGTTGGTACCTTTTTCAGCGCTCACAGGGTTACTTACCCACAATCTAGGCAAGTCCTTAGAAAAAACGATAACCTATAGAAACGAACAATTCCGGTATTAGAAGGCTGGGATGAACCAGTCTACCAGAAGAACAATCTCCAGGATCTCCTTATAACATTTTCCAAACAATAGGAGTTATCTCATCCAACCATGGTCCTACAATACATTCATCGTTTTCGTGCACAGGAGATATCTGCCCGCTTTGTTACCTGTATGCTCTTGCCGAAAGAATTGGCTGACATGTTTGTGCAGCATTTCGGCACAAATCGCATGGAATTCAGAAAGTAATCACCATTATTTGAGGGAGGGAGACACCAGACTCGGGATATGTTCCTATCCCCCCCCCAAATACAATTGAGCATGAGGACAGCAGAGTGAAACGTGGCAAACAACAAAGACAAAAAAGGCCAAATTTATTAAGGATGGGGGTTGGTTAAAAAGAAAACACTAAATATCATTAAATCCAGAATAGAACATTATTATCAGCATGTTAGCAGAAAAAACAAAAAAAGAAGAAGGCCCAGAATACTTTAAAGCAAAAATGGAAACAAAGAGGTATGGGTCCCAATTAAGGTTTTTTTCTTCAATTTCTAAGAGAAGTGGGACAGGAAAACCTTGATACTATTTCTATAATATGTCGCTGGTCAGAGTTGAAATGGAGAATATTACCAAAAAAAGAAGTGCGGATGTAGCTCAAACACAGATTTAGAGGACGAACAAATAATAAAACCCCCCCCCCCCCCACCATACATACATCAAGACATGATGCACATGTATTGATTACACTGAATTAATACGCTAAGAAAAAGCTGATTTCCTTTTGATGATCCAAGGCATGATGAAAGTACTTCTATGTCAGGAAAAACTCAAGAGAAAGTTCATCTAATAAAAAAACCAACGTGAAGCATTAGAGGAAAGAAGCATGGAAGAATGTGTTAAGAGGGATAAACCCTTATCAATGAATGTTCTAAGCAATAAAGCAAAGAAAATTGGTCATACCTATAGGAGATTTCAGCAGAAAGTAGCTTTCCGAAGGCATTGAATCAGGCCCTAGTTAAAACTGAGAAGAAAAATCACAAACTCATGTGCGCCCCCCAAATATTTCAAAGGGTAAATATCAAACTTCTAACAATCCAAATATGCGCTTATGCATTAGAACAAACCTTGCTAGCACTAGATCTTTGTGAGAATAATTAAGGTGTGAAGACGACAAAACTGAAGCTGGCAATATTGTGGGCAAGTAATTAGTCGTGAGTCTTTGCACTTGGATTTCAGAATGGGAATCCACATTCTTCCTAACAAAACATCCATGAAATACCCGGAGGAATCAGCAATCAAAGGAGCAGGCACCAGGTACTGCTTCAAAGAAGGCCAACAATGTTCAAGTAAGAAAACTCAATTTCATGTTCAGCCCCAATAATATGTGTGGGCTGAACCAATCCTTTCTCCATTTCAGGTAATGGGGAGGGGCTGCGACAGAAGAGTAGGAGTTAAATGAATGATACAAATCACGTCTTGGAATTCTTGTGAGCAATCTGCAAAAGTAACTACTGAGAGTTCCACAAGAACAAAACCCAGCTCCAGGGCTTTTGTGGGCAATAACGAGGAGGTACAATGGGACCAGGACAAGAGGGGCCGCATTACACACTGGATGGAACCAAAAATGCACAATAAACAATGGTTAAAATATAATGTTAGAACTAATTTCAGTTACACACCAAATCAATGAGGCAAACATAGTGTCTCCCCCATTAAGTAGCTTTGAAAACCACCACCATGTCTGCGCTATGCCGCTTCACAGACTCCAGATTGCAGTTCACTGAATTTGGGACCAGGTTTCAAAGCCGAGAGGCCACAGCCTTTTTTGGATCAAATTTCCCATGAGTTCAGCCAATTAACACAAACAATATCACAGGACATCTCACCAGGGGCGGGGCTTTCACGGGGACGGGCTTGGGCCGGGATTGCACTATCCCTACCCCGCTCGTCCCTGGCGTGCGGGATTTCTAAGGATCATCCCCCGGCCATATCGTCGAATTTTTCGGGGATTCCCACCCTATTCAGGACGGTCAGTCGAATCCCCGTGGGGCCGAGGCAAAACACCCTCTCTAGTTAGAGATACAGTTATGAGCAATAACATCATATTACTCATCTTACAAAGCAATTAAGGTAGGAAGCACTTTAGGAGCACAGGCAAATCTGCTAGATTGATACTCACAAATCAAAGGCTATGCATGTTTTTATGCATAATGCATCATAAACTGCAGGAATCTTTGGATGCGTTGCGGTAAGTGTTGTGAGAACAATCCGATAAGCACTGACCCCGACTTCAATGGCTTCCTTTGTGTGCTGTCGGTTTTAGCTACAGAATCATACACCTGGCCATCCTCATAGGTTGCCTGCAAACATCAAAACACACCACAATCACCAGCAAGTAACCTCACTTAGAAGCTGAATAAGTCATAGCTAGGACCTGAATTATTTCGAGTTTAAAACCCAGTTATTCAATGTATAACACGATGTGAAACTTTCAATGTAGCAAATATTGTATCACGAGCAATTTGAAAGCTTGACATTGGATTAAACTTGACTCGTGTATAAGGACTGTCGGCTCCACAGGATGCTTTGGCTAGCGCGGGCCGGGCCTGGTATCACTGAACTACAATCCTCCACCCCGGGTTTGTCACTTTCCGACACCATTGATTCTTTCTGATGCCTTCAAAACCAATTACCAACTGCTTTGAAGTGCACAACAGGAATACTAATCAAGGTATCAAACCCTGCTTCGTGGAGCACTTCTTTAGGCTCGCTAGCAATGGAAAAGCGGTTGATTGATCAGACAGATTCAACTCAGAAATGAGAGGCATTTTTCTGTTCAAATCACATTATTATTCTACTTCCCGAGACAAAGGATCCTTATCGCAATTCAATGTTGTGCTTAAAAGCAACCATGAAGATTTCTGTTCGTGTATCGCAGTAATGAACTGCATATCTAATCTTCACTTCTTTGATATGCATCCAGAAATGCCTTAAGTTGTGCTGGGCTACAACACAATGTCAGGAGGAACACCTTTCACAAGTCATGTCGTAGAGAACGTATTCTTGCCAAACCAGCATGGTGATCAGCATGAAATGCGAAATCCAAATGCAGCTTAGATTCCCACAGCACTGTCAGCACCCTCCATACGTATCTGTACTCAGGCAGACAAGCACAACAATAAGTTTTGTCAGTCAAAGATAACATACTAGGAAGAGGATAGAAAACCTTGCTAGCAGAGGTTGGAACATGTCGTAACAGTTTCGAAGTTGTACCTTCTTCTCAGTTTTGGCCCAGGGTTCATTTCCACAATCTAAGAGCAAGTTCCTTTGGGAAAAAAAGATTAATATAGATAGAACTACATCCGGTTATTCAGAAGGCCGGGCTGACCAGTCCCGAGAAAGAACCATCTCCAGGTCGCTTTCCTACATTTTCCATAACAACTGGAACTCCGATTCCATCCACTTTCATTTTCAGCAATGAGATATCACCTCGTTTGTTTCGGGAGGCACTTTCCAGATCTGGCTGACATGTTGCGCAAGCATCTACAATCTCTGGAATTTCGAATGTAAAATTCATCATTAATTTTTAGAGAGCCACAGACTTGGGATCTCGTTGATCAAGGCCAGAGGAGCATGAGGAGCAGAGTGAACTGAATCCGTATGAAACACTGTTCAGGTTCTCCTCTTAATAAAACAAAGCACTAAATCAAGTATGAAAAGGGCTTTAGTGTAAGAGGGTTAAACTCAGGCACTGAATTTCTCAGCTACACTAACTAAAAAACAGTTATACCCTTCAGTAGATTTTTAGCCAGAAAGACACAATTTCAGAACGCCTTGAACCGGGACCCTTAATATATTATAAAATAAAATATAAGGCAAAAAAAAAAAGGGAAAACCACTAAGTTCCCCCAACTATTTAAAACGTACCTAGCAACTTCTAACTATCGAAAATACTGTTTAATGACGTTAGAGGAAAATCGCAGCACTATACAATCTGGTGCGGGATATTAAGATGCTGCAGCGAACCAGAAAAACTCTGCAGTGGAATAATGTGGACACAGATAATAAGTTCGGAGGATAATCTTGCATTGGATTTTAGAATTGGAACCTCTGCATTCTTCCTACAAACAGCATGAATAGTCAGGAGGAATAATCAATCAGAAAAGGGCAGGCACCAGTATCGCTTTTATAGAAGAAACAATGTCAAGAAAAAGGACTCACATTTCATGTCCAGCCATAATATGTTGGGCTGAACCAAACCTCTTCATGCATATCTGGTAATTAGGGGTGCCTGTGACAGAAGTAGGACTTAAATGAATGATACAATTCACAGTCTTGGCACATTTTGTTGAGCAATCTGCATAGTAACTACTGAGAGATTCCACAGACAACAACTCCAATACGTGGGCTTCTGTTGGGCAGTCAACCAGTAGTACAATGGGACCAGGAACAGACGGGCCCATTACATCACTTGGATGAATCTAAAACAAATGAAATGAAACAATGTTTTAAAACATACATGAAGTGACATATTTCAGATACAGCAAAAGTTTATTAGAGCAACATGATTTTCCCTTTCATTATTTAACTTTGAAACTCACCATGGTGCCACAATCTGACTGCACTGACTTCCCAGATTTCAGGTCATCGTATTTTGGCCCAGAACTCAAGCCTAGAGCCATAGCTTTGTCAGGATCAAATTTTCCCATGAGTTCAGGCAATTCACAAACATATATAACAGACAACTCCCCGGGCTTTACTGCTGATCCTCCGGAGAAATTTGGTTTTAGGAGAATGGCTGATATTTTAACAACCTCATTATTGACAAGAACAAGGGGGTCGGTTAACTTTGTTAAATCAGTTAGAGTAGCATCAGAGGATGGAGATGTCCCAAAGCTCCTTGCGTGAACCATAGCATCACGTCGAATGAAAGACTTCATTGCATCAACTAAATACTTGAGGTCTGAAGGACCCCATACATTTACCTTTATGCAAACAAATGAAAATTTTAGATGATGGTGAGTAACCACCAAGCAAATCAAAATCTTAGTTAAAATACATGAGGTCAAGTTGTTACTCACAGACAGCCCTCCAAAATCGGCCAAAGTGAAAAGAAGACCTGTGAGGTAAAATAAGAATTCAGCAACCCTCTCTTTGTATGAGCAGTCCTAGTATTTGCTCATGATACTAATGCTTATAAACATTACTCAGCAATAGTAAAAAAAAAAAGTTTATGCAGAAAAAAGAAAAAAATTATGAATACATCTTGGTTTCTCCATCAAGACACTAACCTGGAAGTCCCCCTGCTGTCTCGGAGCAGACACGAGAAAGAAATATGTGATCTACCTGAAGAAAGATCCGCAATATTATCAGTCACTATTGCATCAAACAATATTCAAAAACTGAAGAACAAACTTTGGAAATATGTATTGATATAGGAAGAAAGAGAAAGAAAATGAAAGTTTACGGATATTCCTACGTTTGGTAATATAATCTTATGCTCGGTAGAGAATCGTTGCAATCCCTGCAATAGAAGTAGTGCATTAAGTAACAGAAAATTTTATAGACAGAACAGTTATATGCCACTGTTCAAAATAAGAGGGCATGACATTTTCCCACCCGAAGTTTATCGTAAGTACTTTGCCCGCCCATAAACTTTGAAAAAACCATTTTCCCACCATCGTTAAATTTAGACGTTAGTTTTAACAGTAAAATAGGCATTCTCGGATCATATCTATTATACGGTTAATATTACTTACGTTCCTAAATTACAAACACATAATAATTATCTCACTAACTTGAAAATTAACCATTTAAACCCCTCTCTTCAATTTCTATAATTACAATGGAGGTTTCACTTTTAAAGTGCATATGTTTCTAAAAAGAATTGAAAGTATATATATTATTTTTAAAAACTATAATAATATCTGTCAATTAAATATTTATAAAACTAGAAAACAATATTTCATTAAGATTTTATATATTTTATGAAATTGTATAAAAAATATAATTTCCAAAAATGAAAAAATTAAAAAAGAAGAGAATTCCGAAAATAAAAAAATTATGAAAATTTGAAAAAAAATTAAAAACTGAATTTTTTTTTATTAAATGTAAATAATTAGTTAAATATAAATATAATTATTAAGAAAATATAAATTATTAATATATTTGAAAATAATAATAATAAATTAAATAAAAATTCGGAAAATAAAAAAATTTAAATTTGGCGGCAAGTCCCTGATACTTGTTTTGCCAAAAAAAGTTGCAAAGANAATAATTATCTTCACTAACTTGAAAACTAAGCACTTAAACCCCTATCTTCAATTTCTATAATTACAATGGAGGTTTCACTTTTAAACTATGTGTGTTTCTAAAAAAATTTGAAAGTACATATATTATTTTTAAAAATTATAATAATATCTGTCAATTAAATATTTATAAAACTACAAAACAATATTTCATTAAGATTATATATATTTTATGAAATTATATAATATAATTTCCAAAAAAAAAAATGTAAAAAAGAAGAGAATCCCTAAAATAAAAAAATTATGAAAATTTGAAAAAAAAAATTAAAAACCGAATTTTTTTTTTTGGTTAAATGTAAATAATTAGTTAAATATAAATATAATTATTAAGAAAATATAAATTATTAATATATTTGAAAATAATAATAATAAATTAAATAAAAATTTGGAAAACAAAAAAAATTAAATTTGGCGGCAAGTCCCTGATGCGTGTTTGATAACATCGCTGGCACCATTGGATAGTAACCGATCTATCCAACCACAATAATGAGGATTTTGTAGCTATCATTGTTTTGCCAAAAAAAGCTGAAAAGATTTGGCTAATCTTCTCCAACTAAACACCTATGCTAAGCCTCCTCATTACTATAGACGTAAAAATCTACCTATACAGAAGGAGGGATTAATCCCGTGAGGTTGAGGCCACTAGCGATCTGCTGTACTTGCACACGTAAGGAAACAAACGTGAAGCGACGGAAAATACCGGGGTGGTGTTTGTCGTAGGCACTCCGACACTCAAGTTAGCAAGACTGAGAGAGGCTAATTTAGTGAGGGCTAGGGAGTAGAAAGGTTACCAGAAGTCTAGTCGGGGACTGTGACTACGACTGTAATGCGAAGTTCTCCAAAGGGAACTTCGAGGTCTGAAGATGTAATGTAATCTGCCTTGTGAGAGGGCTGGTCTCTGTTTAAATAGTGACTGTATGGTTTCCCAATCCTGGTGGGATTGGGAGTCCTCGTAGTAATCGTTCCTCCTAGGGATGTATCTTTTGGTCCCCTTATCCTGGCGTGAAAGGGGGCCCGAGCATGACTCGGATACAGACCTTGGAGGAATTAGGACAATAATGGATTGCCTTATAAGAGTTCCAGTATGAGTGTGATCCGTAGGTGACTGTGGGCTTCGAATTTGACCATAAGCCCAGAAGGTGTGTTGGGATCAGGAGGCTCGGGTCCAGATGGTACATACCAACTGTACTTCATACCGAATGGGCCTCATCTGGGGAATTCTAGCTTGGGTAGCATCAGGACTGGGCCTAGGCTTTCTTCTTTGTCAGAAGTGTTCCTCTATTTGGACCAAGGACATTTTTTGGCCCTAATAGTTACAATGGTTAGGTAGATCAACCAAGGATCCACCCAACGATGTCGATGGTGTCGCTAGACACACTATTAGAAATGGTAGCCATCCTCACCCTCAGCGACTATGTGGCCACTCCCACCGGGTGCAATTCAGTTTGTTAATTTTTTATTTTTCATTTCTTTTATTTTAAATTTATTAACCCTAAAATTAATATAAACCAAACTAGGGGCATTAAATAAAGTTTGGGTGGAAAATTGTGATTCAACCTTGTTAAAAATTATGAAGTCAAATAATAAAGGGTATTATAGTCTTTTCGTAATTTTACCCTTGTTAACTTCCTGAACAGGGACCTTGGAAGTGATAAGTAGACCTGGCAAAACGGGCAGGTGGGCCGGGTATAGGTCGGGTCTCTACGGACAGGCTTGAAACAGGTCGATTTAAATGGGTCCAATATTTTGGATTCGTACCCTACCTTATGCGAGTACGAGTTGACCCGCGGGTGCCCGCACTATTCATTCTAGTTTCTAATTCTTGCAATTACACCCCCATAGTTTATGCAGTTTTAATATTTTATAGTTACACCTCCATAATCATCTACTCCAAATTCAATTAAATTCACTCCTTTTCGTTCTTGGTTGAAAACAAAGTTTCTCTCGTTCAATTTTCATCTTCCAAGTATGAATAAAGTAAATCCAAACTCAATAAAACTAAGGCTCCGTTTGGTTCATTATTCTAATAGTTTTTAGAATAATATTTTGAAAAAAGTTAAATTGGGCGAGTATTACGATGTAAGATTTGAAAACTAACAAAAATACCCTTTATGTTTATTTATTTACTAAACACTCCTATAATAAAATATTAAAAGTTAACAAAAACACCCTCAACCCACCCATTAAATATGAACAGTCGGCCACCATCGTCGGAGGGTGGTTGGAGTGTTTTTGTAATTTCTAAAACAATATTTGGGAGTGTTTAGTTAAATTAACAAATTTAGGGGGGTTTAAAAGAAATTTAAAAATATAGAATAATATTTTGAGAATAATGACATTTTACTGTTTAACTTTATGGGAAAGGATTCCCAATAGCGTAACAACGAAGCCTAAATTTCTCAAATCTAAATGAATTCAAATCAACATGATTAAAGCAGCCCATTTTTTCAACAAAAAACAATTCAAAGCAAACAACTCATTTTCAAATAAAGCAACACAAATTAATCCTACAACAAAACCCATTTTTTAGACCAAATCAATAGATCCATTCATCAAACCATCCATGGAGCCTAGTAGCTAAGCAATCAAAAGGAGAAGAAAAAGATCCTTAGACTGCAGCAAAAACAAAAAGCAATAAGGCACACAGACCCTATAAACGGCCAGCATAAACCAACATATGCACAGCTAGACAACTCCATTGCCCTTAAAAACCTAATCAACAAAAATCTACACAACCTAACAAGGACCCAAAGAGGCAATTTCTGCTGCTATCCACTTTATCCAGCACAACAAAAACTTTCAGACCCCATACAAAAGCTCTATGCTCTTCTGGTACTTTCTGATTTCTCTCAAACCCACAGTTCCTAGCCTAAAACGGTGCGGCTTCTTCACTCCTTCCTTCGCCGAAGCTAACTTTCGAGTAGTCCTTGGCTAGTTGCTTAAGTAGCGCCTTGCCTCTGATGGACTTCCTTGTTGTTTGAGTGTCTGTTTCGTGCAAGCCATTTGAAAGGTTGATGATTGAAAGAGTGGTTTTCTATTTAGATTGAGGAGTAATACTACACATACATCATTTTCATACAACATTTTCCATACAACATTATGTGGCAATATATGATTGGCTAATTTAAAGTTAAAATTAAACTTTCATTCAATCACATCTTGCCACATAATGTTGTATGAGAAATGTTGTATGTGAATGATGTATGTGTAGTATTATTCTTAGATTGAGACTGAGGAAGTGCTGAAGCGGCGACGGTGGAAAAGATGGAGTTGAGTTTGTAATGTGATTATGTTAAGAGTTAGGGATTTGGCATTTATTATTATTATTTTTTTAATTTCAAACGGGTACTCGTGGGCACCCGTGGGTGTAACCAGACTACCCATTTACAAAAAGGGTCAGGCTCGGTACGAATCCAAAAAACTGGATCAGTCTTAAGGATTCATACCCTATATTATTTATTCGAGTACGGGCCGACCCATGGATAAAGACCCGTTTTGTCAGGTCTAGTGACAAGTCAACGTTATCCAAATAAGAGATGACTAGTACTCCACAGTTGAGTAGAAAATTTTACCTCTCCAGCATTAAAAATAAATCTTTGCTCGTCAACGAAGAGCAGGACTGAAGGCGAAGTGTCCTGAGTATCCATTCCAGTACCCAGAATCTGTAATTTAAAAAAAAAAAAAAAAAAAAAAATCAACACTTAAATTACAAACGAATAAGAAAACTTCAGTTTCATAAAAATTTAAGAACCCTAACCCACCTCACAAAATCACAATTGAATAAGATCCCATAAACTATAAATTGACCTTTTCCAGATAAACTCAAAAAACTAACTTAAACCCAGTTCCCCAAATCCATAATAAACTGGCTGTAACAACCAAAAGCCAGAATGTACCAAACCAAAGTTACAAACAAAATTAGGAACTTTGAACTCAAATCTTCAACCAGAAACGTTAAACTCAAAAACAAAATCAAACCGAGTTCATAAAAACACAACTGAACAAACCCCACAAAGCCAAAAACACACAGCACAAAAAATTTCATTACCTGGACATATGAAACAGTACTAGTTGGGTTAAGCTTGGGAACTTTATGCTGAGGATTCTTATTTGGCATATCAATACAACTTTTTCCCTCAGACCTTCTTTTGTTGAACCTAAAAGAGGACTCATTTTTACTCTCTTGCATTGTAACAGCTCTTACAGTGAATTTCTTTGCTGTTAGCTCTTTGATTGTTTTCGAATTTGTTCACTGATTGCATTGCATTCCATTGCAATGAATATGCAGAGTGTTTTCATCTCTATCTTCTTTTGGAAACACAAGTATGCTTATCCTGAGTAGAGTGTATATACAACCAGCTCGCTAATCCTGATAGAAGATAATTACGGGAAGACATAAAGATAAAGGATAAGAGGTTCAGAATTCACCCCTCTTTTCATTTTTGGTTTTACTCTCACATAAACACAAGTATGCTTATCCTGATATCAATTGACAGGTGTCAATTGATATCAGGATAAGCATACTGTATTTATGTGAGAGCCTCAATTGACGCAACTTGACTGACACTGCCTTAATTGACGGCCATCAGGCATGTGTATACTCACTCACTCTGATATGATATGCCTCCATATCCATTGACTCGCCTTCATTGACCCACTCTGATATGATATGCCTCCATTGACTTGCCTTCATTGACTCACTCTGATATGAAATGCCTCCATCTAACGGATTGTATGTGCCTGCGAAAAATTTCTCATATCCTCGTTATATTATTGAGATTTGGTAAAATGAAGTTTCACTTGTAAATGCTTACGATTTTTATGTGGAAGAAATTAAAGATGTTGAAAACAGACTAATCATGCAATTGCCATCGCTTTTAATTGGAAATTCTTTCACATGACAAAAATTTTGGTTGGTTACAGCCTTTCTTATCATTTTCATAAGAGTTAAAGGACTTTTTCCCACCCAAATAATGGTTTGACGACACTTTTTCACCCACAAACTTTTAAAATATCATTTTACTATCCAAATTTATATTCCAATAGCGAACAGAGTGTAAACACAGTTTAGACTGTTGTGGCTTTTGAAGAGAGGAGATCAATGAGTCTTTTGGTAGTAGAAGGTTGGATTTGGGTGGTTGGAATTAATCAGAATTTGACTTAGAAGGGGTGGCTGCGCAAACCCTAATTGCTCGATTGTTTGCGATTGGTGGGTCGCGAAAGTAGGGTTTGAGGGATTTTAGTGAGTGATGATCGAAGAAAATAATGGTGATAATTTGAGGTTGTAACAATGCCGGAATAAAAAACAGAATATAAATTTAGATAATAAAATAATATTTTAAAAGTTTAGGGGTGAGAAAATGCCATTAAACCATTAAGCCAGTGGGAAAATGTTGTTTACTCTTTTCGTAACTCTAAAGCATCAGAAGTGGGTGTCGTTGTCAAACTTTCACTCACCTGCTACTCTTTTCAGTGGCCAGACTGCACATGGCTGTTTCTATCACATCAGAATATATAATTCAGGAAATTAATTGATTACATACTACAGCCCCAATAGCAGCATCTGACTCATCAATTGGCATCTCATCTTTAAAAAGCAATTTAAAGTAGAACTTTAAATGGAGAACACGCAAATCTAGTGGGTCAGGTCAATACTCACCAAATTCAAAAGCTATGCGTGTTTTTTGCGTGTGTGCCTCATCAACTACATGAATCTTTGGGTGTGTATACGACAAGCACCTGACCCAACTTCAATGGCTTCTTTTGCTGTGCTGTGGCTTTTCGCTTCAGCTTCCTTGGCTTCACCGTGCCACCCTCAAAGGTTGCCTGCAACACTATAAACACGACCACAATCAGCAGCTGAATATTCATCACCTAGGACCTTAAATCTATATGAAGTTTAGTAATCATCTATTTTATAACAACGATGTTGAAATGTTTCAATTTAGCAATATTGCATCACCAATTAATAGTATTTGTTCATGATATAATGCTTAAAAACATTACTCAGCAATAGTAAAAAAAAAAGTTTATGCAGAAAAAAGAAAAAATTATGAATACATCATGGTTTCTCTATCAGACACTAACCTGGAAGTCCCCCTGCTGTCTCGGAGCAGACACGAGAAAGAAATATGTGGACTACCTGAAGAAAGATCCACAATATTATCAGTCACTATTGCATTAAACAATATCAAAAACTGAAGACAAACTTTGGAAATATGTATTGACATAGGAGAAAGGGAAAGAAATGAATGTTTCGGATATTCCTACGTTTGGTAATATATCTTATGCTCTGTACAGAATCGTTGCAATCCCTGCAATAGAAGTAGTGCATTAGTAACAGAAAATTGATAGGTGTTCATATTTAGAAGAATCACAAACATGATCTTCATCTCATCTCCCTGGCAATTTTATAGACGTAACAGTTAATACCACTGTCAAAATAAGAGAGAATGACATTTTCCCACCAAAGTTTACCGATGACTTGCCACCGAAACTTTGAAAAAACATTTTTCCACCATCGTTAAATTTAGACGTTAGTTTAACAGAAAAATAGACATTCTTGTCGGATATATCTAGATAGGGTTAATATGCTTACGTTCCTAAATTACAAACAAGAATATACTTCACTAACTTGAAAACTAAGCACTTAAACCCCTATCTCAATTTCTATAATTACAATGGAGGTTTCACTTTTAAACTATGTGTGTTTCTAAAAAAATTTGAAAGTAATATATATTATTTTTAAAAATTATAATAATATCTGTCAATTAAATATTTATAAAACTACAAAACAATATTTCATTAAGATTATATTATTTATGAAATTATATATAAATTTCCAAAAAAAAAAAGTAAAAAGAGAGAATCCCTAAAATAAAAATTATGAAATTTGAAAAAAAAAATTAAAAAACCGAATTTTTTTTTTGGTTAAATGTAAATAATAGTTAATATAAATAATTATTAAGAAAAATATAATTATTAATATATTTGAAAATAATAATAATAAATTAAAAAAATTTGGAAACAAAAAAAATTAAATTTGGCGGCAAGTCCCTGATGCGTGTTTGAAACATCGCTGGCACCATTGGATAGTAACCGATCATCAACCACAATATGAGGATTTTGTAGCTATCATTGTTTGCCAAAAAAAAGCTGAAAAGATTTGGCTATCTTCCAACTAAACCTATGCTAAGCCTCCTCATTAATATAGACGTAAAAATCTAACTATACAGAAGGAGGGATTAATCCGTGAGGTTGAGGCCACTAGCGATCTGCTGTACTGCCACAAGTAAGGAAACAAACGTGAAGCGACGGAAAATACCGGGGTGGTGTTTGTCGTAGGCACTCCGACATCAAGTTAGCAAGCTGAGAGAGGCTAATTTAGTGAGGGCTAGGGAGTAGAAGGTTACCAGAAGTTAGTCGGGGACTGTGACTACGACTGTAAGCGAAGTTCTCCAAAGGGAACTTCGAGGTCTGAAGATGTAATGTAATCTGCCTGTGAGAGGGCTGGTCTCTGTTAAATAGTGACTGTAGGGTTCCAATCTGGTGGGATTGGGAGTCCTCGTAGTAATCGTTCTCTAGGATGTATTCTTTGGTCCCCTTATCCTGGCGTGAAAGGGGGCGAGCATGACTCGGAGTAACATTGGAGGAATTAGGACAATAATGGATGCCTTATAAGAGTTCCAGTATGGTGTGATCGTAGGTGACTGTGGGCTTCGAATTTGACCATAAGCCCGAAGGTGTGTTGGGATCAGGAGGCTCGGGTCCAGTGGTACACAAACGTTCAATACGAATGGGCCTCATCTGGGGAATTCTAGCTTGGGTAGCATCAGGACTGGGCCTAGGTTTCTTTTGTCAGAAGTGTTCCCTATTGGACCAAGGACATTTTTTGGCCCTAATAGTTACAATGGTTAGGTAGAGATACCAAGGATCCACCCAACGATGTCGAGTGGTGTCGCTAGACACACAGAAATGGTGCCATCCTCACCCGCGACCTATGTGGCATCATCGGGTGCAATTCAGTTTGTTAATTTTTTTATTTTTCATTTCTTTTATTTTAAATTATTAACCCTAAAATATATAAACCAAACTAGGGGAATTAAATAAAGTTTGGGTGGAAAATTGTGATTCAACCTTGTAAAAATTATGAAGTCAAATAATAAAGGGATTATAGTTTTTCGTAATTTTACCTTGTTAACTTCCTAAAAGGGACCTTGGAAGTGATAAGTAGACCTGGCAAAACGGGCAGGTGGGCCGGGTATAGGTCGGGTCTCTCGGACAGGTTGAAACAGGTCGATTTAAATGGGTCCAATATTTTGGATTCGTACCTACCTTAGCGAGTAAGAGTTGACCCGGGGTGCCCGCACTATTCATTCTAGGTTCTAATTCTTGCAATTACACCCCATAGTTTATGCAGTTTTAATATTTTTTAGTTACATCTCCAAATCATCTACTCCAAATTCAATTAAATTCACTCTTTTCGTTCTTGGTTGAAAACAAAAGTTTCTCTGTTCAATTCATCTTCCAAGTATGAATAAGTAAATCCAAACTCAATAAAACTAAGGCTCCGTTTGGTCATTATTCATAGTTTTTAGAATATATTTTGAAAAAAGTTAATTGGGCGAGTATTAGATGTAAGATTTGAAAACTAAAAAATACCCTTTATGTTTATTTATTTACTAAACCACTCCTATAATAAAATATTAAAAGTTAACAAAACACCCTCAAACCCACCATTAATATGAACAGTCGGCCACATCGTGGAGGGTGGTTGGAGTGTTTTTGTAATTCTAAAACATATTGGGAGTGTTTAGTTAAATTAACAAATTTAGGGGGGTTTAAAGAAATTTAAAAATATAGAAATATTTTGAGAATAATGACATTTTACTGTTTAACTTTATGGGAAGGATTCCCAATAGCGTAACACGAAGCCTAAATTTCTAAATCTAAATGAATTCAAATCAACATGATTAAAGCCGCCCATTTTTCAACAAAAACAATTCAAGCAAACAAATCATTTTCAAATAAAGCAACACAAATTAATCCTACAACAAAACCCATTTTTTAGACCAATCAATAGATATTCATCAACAATCCATGGAGCCTAGTACAAGCAACAAAGGAGAAGAAAAAATCCTTAGACTGCAGCAAAAACAAAAAATAAGCACCAAGACCCTATAAACGGCCAGCATAAACCAACATATGCACAGCTAGACAACTCCATTGCCCTTAAAAACCTAATCAAAAAAATCTACACAACTAACAAGGACCAAAGAGGCAATTTCTATGCTATCACTTTATCCAGCCACAACAAAAACTTCAGACCCCATACAAAAGCTCTATGCTCTCTGTACTTTCTGATTTCTCTCAAACCACAGTTCCTAGCCTAAAACGTGCGGCTTCTTCACTCCTTCCATCCCGAAGCTAACATTCGAGGTCCTTCGCTAGTTGCTTAAGTAGCGCCTTGCCTTGATGGACTTCCTTGTTGTTTGAGTGTCTGTTTCGTGCAAGCCATTTGAAAGGTTGATGATTGAAAGAGTGGTTTTCTATTTAGATTGAGGATAATACTACACATACATCATTTTCATACAACATTTTCCATCAACATTATGTGGCAATATATGATTGGCTAATTTAAAGTTAAAATTAACTTTCATTCAATCACATTTGCCACATAATGTTGTATGAGAAATGTTGTATGTGAATGTATGTGTGATATTCTTAGATTGAGACTGAGGAAGTGCTGAAGCGGCGACGGTGGAAAAGATGGAGTTGAGTTTGTAATGTGATTATGTTAAGAGTAGGGATTTGGCATTTATTATTATTATTTTTAATTTAAACGGGTACTCGTGGGCACCCGTGGGTGTAACCAGACTACCCATTTACAAAAGGGTCGGGTGGGTACGAGTCCAAAAAACCGGATCAGTCTTAAGGATCATACCCTATATTATTTATTCGAGTACGGGCAATCTTCAAGTCTTTGATATGCATCCAGAAATTCCTTAAGTTGTGCTGGGCCTACAACCAGCAATGGTTCATGAGACACACCTTTCAACAAGTCAAGTCGTAGAGCAAGTATTCTTGCCAAACCAGCCTGGTGATCAGCATGAATATGAGAAATCCAAATGCACCTTAGATTCCTCACAGCACTGTCAGCACCCTCTATACCGTATCTGTACTCAGGCAGACAAGCCACAACAATAAGCTTTTGTCACTTCAAAAGAATAAAATAATAGGAAAAGGATGGAAAACCTTGTAGCAGATGTGTAGTAAAAGTTTCGAAGTTGTTACCTTCTTCTCAGTTGTCCCAGGGTTCCTTCTCCACAATCTAAGAGCAAGCTTCCTTTGGAAAAAAGATTAATATAGATAGAACTAACATTCCGGTATTCATAAGGCCGGGCTGAACCAGTCCCGAGAAGAACAATCTCCAGGTCATCTTTCCTTACATTTTCCAAACAACTACGAAGTCTATTCTCATCCACTTCATTTTCATGCACATGAGATATCACCTATTTTGTTTCTGGAGGCACTTGCCAGATCTGGCTGACATGTTGCGCAGCATCTACAATCTCTGGAATTTCCGAATGTAATTCATCCATTAATTCTGAGAGAGCCACCAGACTTGGGATCTCTGTTCTATCAAGTCCAAGATGAGCATGAGGAAGCAGAGTGAACTGATCAAGTATGAAACACTGTTCAGGTTTCCTCTTAATAAAACAAAGCACTAAATCAAGTATGAAAGCATAGTGTTAAGAGGGATTAAAACTGAGTCACTGAATTTCTCAGCTAAACTAAATAAAAAATATTTCATACCTTCAGTAGATTTTTAGCAGAAACACTTTCAGAAAGCCTTGCAACAGGACCCTAATATATGTATAAAATAAAATATAAGGAAAAAAAAAGGGAAAACCACTCAGTTACCCCAAACATTTAAAACTGTAACTAACAACTTCTAACTATCGAAAATACTATCTAATGACGTTAGAGAAAACCTCGCTAGCACTATAATCTGGTGCGGAATTATTAAGATGCTGAAGAGAGCAGAACTCTGTAGCTGGAAATAATTGTGGACACAGATAATTAAGTCATGCTGATAATCTTGCATTGGATTTTAGAATTGGAACCTCTGCATTCTTCCTACAAACAGCATGAATAGTCAGGAGGAATAATCAATCAGAAAAGGGCAGGCACCAGTATCGCTTTTATAGAAGAAACAATGTCAAGAAAAAGGACTCACATTTCATGTCCAGCCATAATATGTTGGGCTGAACCAAACCTCTTCATGCATATCTGGTAATTAGGGGTGCCTGTGACAGAAGTAGGACTTAAATGAATGATACAATTCACAGTCTTGGCACATTTTGATGAGCAATCTGCATAGTAACTACTAAGAGATTCCACAGACAACAACTCCAATACGTGGGCTTCTGTTGGGCAGTCGACGAGTAGTACAATGGGACCAGGAACAGAGAGGCCCATTACATCATTTGGATGAACCTAAAACAAATGAAATGAAACAATGGTTTAAAACATACATCAAGTGACATATTTCAGATACACCTAAAGTTTATTAGAGCAACATAATTTTCCCTTTCATTATTTAACTTTGAAACTCCCCATGGTGCCACAATCTGACTGCACTGACTTCCCAGATTTCAGATCATCGTATTTTGGCCCAGAACTCAAGCCTAGAGCCCTAGCTTTGTCAGGATCAATTTTTCCCATTAGTTCAGGCAATTCACAAACATATATAACAGACAACTCTCCAAGCTTTACTGCTGATCCTCCAGAGAAATTTGGTTTTAGGAGAATGGCTGATATTTTAGCAACCTCATTATTGACAAGAACAAGGGGGCGGTTAACTTTGTTAAATCGGTTAAGAGTAACATCAGAGGATGGAGAATGTAAGGAAAGAGGTGATATCTCATCTCCATCCTCTGATGCTACTCTAACTGATTTAAGATGTCCCAAAGCTCCTTGCGTGAACCATAGCATCACGTCGAATGAAAGACTTCATTGCATCAACTAAATACTTGAGGTCTGAAGGACCCCATACATTTACCTTTATGCAAACAAATGAACATTTTAGATGATGGTGAGTTACCACCAAGCAAATCAAAATCTTAGTTAAAATTGACTATTTGAAATATTGACCTTTTAAACAAATAAAATACATGAGGTCAAGTTGTTACTCACAGACAGTCCTCCAAAATCGGCCAAAGTGAAAAGAAGACCTGAGGTGAAGTAAGAATTCAGCTACCCTCTCTTTGTATGAGCAGTCCTAATATAACCATTGTAACGAGGACGCTTATGCTAAGCCTCCTCGTTACAATGGTTAGGTACATCAACCAAGGATCTACCCAACGATGTCGATGGTGTCGCTAGACACACTATTAGAAATGGTAGCCATCGTCACCCTCAACAACTATGTGGCCACTCCCACTGGGTGCGATTCAGTTTGTTAATTTTTTTATTTTTCATTTCTTTTATTTTAAATTTATTAACCCTAAAATTAAATAAACCAAACTAGGTGTGAAAATTATATTAAATAAAGTTTGCGTGGAAAATTCTGATTCAACCTTGTTAAAAATTATGAAGTCAAATAATAAAGGTATTATAGTCTTTTCGTGACTTTACCCCTATTAGGTAACATATTCCATGGACGGAGATTGACGATGGGTGGGAAATTGTTTTCCTCTAAGTTTATGGGTGAGAAAATGTAATTGTGGCAAACATTGGGTGATGGAATGTTGGATTTGAGTGGTTGAAATTGATCGGAATTTGACTTGGAAAAGGTGGTTACACAAACCCTAATTGCTCGATTGTTGACGATTGATGGGGTCGACGAGAGTAAGGTTTGAGGGATTTTAGTAAGTGATGATCAAAGAAAAGAATGATGATGGTTTGGGATTGTAACGATATTGGAATCGAAAACGGAATATAAATTTGGATAAAAAAATAGTATTTTAAAAGTCTATGGATGAAAAAATGTCATTAAGCCATTATTTGAGTAGGAAAAAAGTTGTTTCCTCTTTTCATAACTCTAAAGCATCAGAAGTGTGTGTCATTGTCAAACTAACTTCTAATTTTCACTCAACTGCTCCTCTTCTCAGTGGTCGGACTACATTTTCCCTGGACATGGCTGTTCCCATCATATAATTCAGGAAATTAATTGATTACATACAACAGCCCCAATAACATCATCTGACTCATCAATTGGCATCTCATCTTTAAAAAGCAATTTGGTAAATGATGTTGCAATTCACATGTCAAAGCTTACGATCTTAATGTGGAACAAAGATGTTGCAAACAGAATAATCATACATTACCATCGCTATTAACTGCATATTCTTTCCAACAGACACAGGTTTTGGTGGGTTACAGCCTTCCGTTTTTTGTCATTTTAATAAAATCTAAAGCTTCAAAGGTGGGTGTCATTATTGAACCAATTTTCTCACATGAGGTATAATTTGGCTCAAGGAGCATTGCATATTAAAATGAATTTATAAGGGTCCTAGAAAACAAGTATAGTATTAGGGAATCATAAAAAATCACTATAATCACTCAATTATTGTTTATCAAGAAGCTACACGTACAGTGTCAATAACATCATCTGACTCATCAATTGGTATCTCATCTTTAAAAAGCAATTTAAAGTAGGGAAGAACTTTAGGGAGCACAGGTAAATCTACTAGGTTAATACTCATCAAATCAAAATCTATGCACGTTTTATGCGTGTGTGCCTCATCAACCACAGGAATCTTAGGGTATCTTTGGCTGAAGTGTGTGAGAACAATCCGATAAGCACCTGAACCGACTTCAATGGCTTCTTTTGTTGTGCTGTGGTTTTTTGCCAAAGCTTCCTCCACCATACCATCCTCAAAGGTTGCCTGCAATATGATAAACAGAACACAATCAGCAGTCATTTCCAAGGATAGTAACCCACTCAAGCTGGATATTCATCACCTAGGACCCTAAATCTTCTACACAGAAAAGCATTATGATGTGCCTTTGATTTAATAAGAGAACCTCATGGCTAAGTTCATTTCTAAATTCTTTATGAAGCCCTTGGGATATTTGACTAGCGTGGCCAAGTCCGATATCAAGTAATAGTCAACTGCTATACTTAAACATTGTACCAGAATCATGGATTATATAACAGCAGTGTTGGAAAAATTAAATTGGCAACATTCCATTAACAATTGAAAACTCAAAATTAACTATATAACTTGCCTCATGTATAAGATCTGTCGCTCCACAGGATGCTTAAATTAACTCCTGGCAAGGCCTGGTGTCGCCTGAATATACTATCTTCCACCCAGGTATTAAGTTTCCCACACTAGATAATCTTTCTGCTGCCTTCAAAACAATACCAAATGCCTGGAGGCAGTGCACAACAGGAAAACTAACCAACGTCTCCAGCACTGCTTCACCGAGCACTTTCTTCAGGCTCTTCAGCAATGGAAAAGCAGTGCTGCTATCAACTGGACTTCCTGGTCTCTTCCAAAAACTTTGCATACAGCTTCCTTTAGCAAACAGATTTAATTCAGTATGGATCACATTTTTATGGTTCAAATTCTCATTATTATCAGTACTTCCTTGAGTTGAGGGATCCTTATTTGATTCACCATTGCATTCAAAATCATTCCATGAAGCTTCTGTAGTGTACCTACAGTTAAGGAATTGCATATCTAGATCTTCAAGTCTTTGATATGCATTTAAAAATCTCTTTGGTTGTGCTGGGCCTACAACAAGCAATGATTCATGAGACACTCCTTTCAACAGATCACGTCTTAGAGCAAGAATTCTTGCCAAACCGGCATGGTGATCAGCATGAATATGACAAATCCAAATACAACTCAAATTCCTCACAGCATTGTCAGCAACCTCTACACCATATCTGTACTCAAGCAGTCATGCAACACAATAAGCTTTGTCACCTCAAAAGAATAAAATACCAGGAAAACAATGGCAAACCTTGTAGCAAAAATTTCTTAGTTGTTACCTTCTTTTCAGCTGTCCCAGGGTTCCTTCCCCACAATCTAAGAGCAAGCTTCCTTTAGAAAAAAGATTAATATAGATAGAACTAACGTTCCGGTATTTAAAAGGCTGGGATGAACCAGTCCCCAGAAGAACAATCTCCAGGTCATCCTTCCTTACATTTTCCAAACAACTAGGAAGTCTATTCTCATCCAACCATGGCTCCTCAATCATCAGTTCGTTTTCCTGCACAGGAGATATTGCCTCTTTTGTCCCTGTATGCTCTTGCCAGAATTGGCTGACATGTTGTGCAGCATCGACAATCTCTGGAATCTCAGAAAGTAAATCATCCATTATTTGAGAGGGAGCCACCAGACTCGGGATATTTGTTCTATCAAATCCAAGTTGAGCATGAGGACGCAGAGTGAACTGTTCAACAACAAGACAAAAAGGCCAATTTTATTAAGGGAATAGGGGGTTGGTTTAAAAAGAAAAACTACATATCATTAAATTCCAGAAAGAACATTATATCATGCCATGTAGCAGAACAAAAGAAGAATGGCCCAGAATACTTTAAAGCAAAAATGAAACAGAGAGTTATGGTCCAAACTAAGGTTTTTTTCTTTCCAATTTCTTAAGAAAGTGGACAGAAAACCTTGATACTATTTCTATAATATGTCGCTGAGTCAGAAGTTAAATGTAGATTGCAAAAAGAATGCAGTGATGTAGCTTCAACACAGTATTTACGAGATAACAAATAATAACACCTCTCATCAAACTAGACATGATGCACACTATTGATTACACTTAAATTAAAATGCCAAAGAAAAAGCTGATTTCCTTCTTTGATTGATTCAAGGCATTGATGAAATTACTTTCTGTCAGAAAAATCAAGAAAAAGTTTCATCTAAATAAACAAACCACTACATTAAGAAAAGAAAGCATGGAAGCATAGTGTTAAGAGGGATTAACCCTCTATCAATGAATTTCTAAGACAAACCAAAGAAAATTTGTTCATACCTTAAGGAGATTTTCAGCAGAAATACTTTCAGAAGGCATTGAATCAGGACCCTAGTAAAATGAAGCAAAATTAAAAACTCAGTTGCCCCCCAAATATTTCAAATGGTAAATATCAACTTCTAACAATCCAAAATATCGTCTTATGGCATTAGAACAAACCTTGCTAGCACTAGATTTTGTTGTGGAATTATTAAGGTGCTGAAGAGACCAAAAACCTTAAGCTGGAAATAATTGTGGGCACAGGTAATTAAGTCGTGATGCTATTCTTGCACTGGATTTCAGAATTGGAATCTCCACATTCTTCCTACAAACATCATGAATACCCAGGAGGAATCAGCAATATAGAGGGAGCAGGCACCAGTACTGCTTTCAAAGAAGGAACAATGTCAAGAAAGCAACTCACATTTCATGTCCAGCCATAATATGTTTTGCTGAACCAAATCTCTTCATCCATTTCAGGTAATTGGGAGTGGCTGTGACAGAAGTAGGAGTTAAATGAATGATAAAATTCACAGTCTTGGCACATTCTTGTGAGCAATCTGCAGAGTAACTACTGAGAGATTCCACAGACAACAACTCCAGTACATGGGCTTCTGTTGGGCAATCAACGAGGAGTACAATGGGACCAGGAACAGATGGGCCCATTACATCACTTGGATGAACCTAAAAATATGAAAATAAACAATGGTAAAATATATATTTAGCAACTAATTTCAGTTACACCAAAACTAAATTAGAGCAACATAGTTTTCCCCTCATTAATTAGCTTTGAAACCCACCATGATGTCTTAGCTATCCGACTTCACAGACTTCCCAGATTGCAGTTCACTAAATTTTGGCCCAGGTTTCAAGCTGAGAGCCACAGCCTTTTTTGGATCAAATTTTCCCATGAGTTCAGGCAATTCACAAACATATATAACAGACATCTCACCAGGGGCGGGCCTTCACGGGGACGGGTTGGGCCGGGGATTGCACTGTCCCCTCCCCCGGCCCGTCCCCGGGTGCGGGGATTTTTCTAAGGATCATCCCCGGCCCAATCGCCGAATTCTTCGGGGATTCCCCGTCCCATTCAGGCCAGGTCGGTCCGAATCCCCGCGGGGCCGAGGCAAACACCCATCTCTAGTTAGAAGATACAGTTATAGCATCAATAACATCATCTTACTCATATTTACAAAGCAATTTAAGGTATGGAAGAACTTTAGGGAGCGAAGGCAAATCTGCTAGATTGATACTCATCAAATCAAAGGGTATGCATGTTTTATGCATAGCTGCATCATCAACTGCAGGAATCTTTGGATGTCTTTGCCGTAAGTGTGTGAGAACAATCCGATAAGCACCTGACCAGACTTCAATGGCTTCCTTTGTTGTGCTGTGTTTTTGAGCTACAACATCCTCCGCCTGGCCATCTTCATAGGTTGCCTGCAACATGATAAACACACCACAATCACCAGCAAGTAACCTCACTCAGAAGCTGAATAGTCATAGCTAGGACCCTGAATCTATATCGAGTTTAAAAGTTCATCAATTGTATAACAACGATGTTGAAACATTCCAATGTAGCAAATATTGCATCACCAATTGAAAGCTTGAAATTGGATTTATAACTTGCCTCGTGTATAAGGACTGTCGCTCCACAGGATGCTTCTGCTAGCGCCGGGCAGGGCCTGGTATCACCTGAATATACAATCTTCCACCTGGGTATCACTTTTCCGACACCATTGATTCTTTCTGATGCCTTCAAAACAATACCAAATGCCTCTTGACAGTGCACAACAGGAATACTAATCAAGGTCTCCAACCCTGCTTCGTGAAGCACTTTCTTTAGGCTCTCTAGCGATGGAAAAGCGGTAGAGTTATCAGACAGATTCAACTCAGAATGGAGCGCATTTTTATGGTTCAAATCCTCATTATTATTAGTACTTCCCTGAGCCAAAGGATCCTTATGCAATTCAATATTGTGCTTAAAATCAATCCATGAAGATTCTGTAGTGTATCTACAGTTAATGAACTGCATATCTAAATCTTCAAGTCTTTGATATGCATCCAGAAACTTCCCTTAAGTTGTGCTGGGCCTACACCAGCAATGGTTCATGAGACACACCTTTCAACAAGTCAAGTCGTAGAGCAAGTTTCTTGCCAAACCAGCCTGGTGATCAGCATGAATATGAGAAATCCAATGCACCTTAGACTCCTCACAGCACTTCAGCACCCTCTATACCGTATCTGTACTCAGCAGACAAGCCACAACAATAACTTTTTTCACTTCAAAAGAATAAATAATAGGAAAAGGAGGAAAACCTTGTAGCAGATGTGTAGTAAAAGTTTCGAAGTTGTTACCTTCTTCCTCAGTTGTCCCAGGGTTCCTTCTCCACAATCTAAGAGCAAGCTTCCTTTGGAAAAAAAGATTAATATAGATAACTAACATTCCGTATCATAAGGCCGGCTGAACCAGTCCGAGAGAACAATCTCCAGGTCATCTTTCCTTACATTTTCCAAACAACTACGAAGTCTATTCTCATCCACTTCATTTTCATGCACATGAGATATCACCTATTTTGTTTCTGGAGGCACTTGCCAGATCTGGCTGACTGTTGCGCAGCATCTACAATCTCTGGAATTTCCGAATGTAATTCATCCATTATTCTGAAGAGCCACCAGACTTGGGATCTCTGTTCTTCAGTCCAGATGAGCGAGGAGCAGAGTGAACTGATCAAGTATGAAACACTGTTCAGGTTTCCTCTTAATAAAACAAAGCACTAAATCAGATATGAAAGCATAGTGTAAGAGGGATAAAACTGAGTCACTGAATTTCTCAGCTAAACTAAATAAAAATATTTCATACCTTCAGTAGATTTTCAGCAGAACACTTTCAGAAGCCTTGCAACAGGACCCTAATATATGTATAAATAAAATATAGGAAAAAAAAAGAAAAACCACTCAGTTACCCAAACATTTAAAACTGTAACTAACAACTTCTAACTATCGAAAATACTATCTAATACGTTAGGAAAACCTCGCTAGACACTAACTGGTCGGAATTATTAAGATGCTGAAGAGAGCAGAACTCTGTAGCTGGAAATAATTGTGGACACAGATAATAAGTCATGCTGATAATCTTGCATTGGATTTTAGAATTGGAACCTCTCATTCTTCCTACAAACAGCATGAATAGTCGGAGAATAATCAATCAGAAAAGGCAGGCACCAGTATCGCTTTTATAGAAGAAACAATGTCAAGAAAAAGGACTCACATTTCATGTCCAGCCATAATATGTTGGGCTGAACAAACCTCTTCATGCATATCTGGTAATTAGGGGTGCCTGTGACAGAAGTAGGACTTAAATGAATGATCAAATTCACAGTCTTGGCACTTTTGATGACAATCTGCATAGTAACTACTAAGAGATTCCACAGACAACAACTCCAATCGTGGGCTTCGGTTGGGCAGTCGACGAGTAGTACAATGGGACCAGGAACAGAGAGGCCCATTACATCTTTGGATGAACCTAAAACAATGAAATGAAACAATGGTTTAAAACATACATCAAGTGCATATTTCAGATACACCTAAAGTTTATTAGAGCAACATAATTTTCCCTTTCATTATTTAACTTTGAAACTCCCCATGGTGCCACAATCTGACTGCACTGACTTCCCAGATTTAGATCATCGTATTTGGCCCAGAACTCAAGCTAGAGCCCTAGCTTTGTCAGGATCAATTTTTCCCTTATTCACAATTCACAAACATATATAACAGACAACTCTCCAAGCTTTACTGCTGATCCTCCAGAGAAATTTGGTTTTAGGAGAATGGCTGATATTTTAGCAACCTCATTATTGACAAGAACAAGGGGGCGTTAACTTTGTTAAATCGGTTAAGAGTAAATCAGAGATGGAGATGTAAGGAAAGAGGTGATATCTCATCTCCATCCTCTGATGCTACTCTAACTGATTTAAGATGTCCCAAGCTCCTGCGTGACCATAGCATCACGTCGAATGAAGACTTCATTGCATCAACTAAATACTTGAGGTCTGAAGGACCCATACATTTACCTTTATGCAAACAAATGAACATTTTAGATGATGGTGAGTTACCACCAAGCAAATCAAATCTTAGTTAAAATTGACTATTTGAAATATTGACCTTTTAAACAAATAAATACATGAGGTCAAGTTGTTACTCACAGACAGTCCTCCAAAATCGGCCAAAGTGAAAAGAAGACCTGAGTAAGAAAATTCAGCTACCCTCTCTTTGTATGAGCAGTCCTATATAACCATTGTAACGAGGACGCTTTAGCTAAGCCTCCCGTTCAATGGTTAGGTACTCAACCAAGGATCTACCCAACGATGTCGATGTGTGCGCTAGACACATATTAGAAATGGTAGCCATCGTCACCCTCAACAACTATGTGGCCACTCCCACTGGGTGCGATTCAGTTTGTTAATTTTTTTATTTTCATTTCTTTTATTTTAAATTTTTAACCCTAAAATTAATAACCAAACTAGGTGTGAAAATTAATTAAATAAAGTTTGCGTGGAAAATTCTGATTCAACCTTGTTAAAATTATGAAGTCAAATAATAAAGGTATTATAGTCTTTTCGTGACTTTACCCCTATTAGGTAACATATCCATGGCGGAGATTGACGATGGGTGAAATTGTTTTCCTCTAAGTTTTGGGTGAGAAAATGTAATTGTGCAAACATTGTGATGGAATGTTGGATTTGAGTGGTTGAAATTGATCGAATTTGACTTGGAAAAGGTGGTTACACAAACCCTAATTGCTCGATTGTTGACGATTGATGGGGTCGACGAGAGTAAGGTTTGAGGGATTTTAGTAAGTGATGATCAAAGAAAGAATGATGATGGTTTGGATTGTAACGATATTGGAATCGAAAACGGAATATAAATTTGGATAAAAAAATAGTATTTAAAAGTCTATGGATGAAAAAATGTCATTAAGCCATTATTTGAGTAGGAAAAAAGTTGTTTCCTCTTTTCATAACTCTAAAGCATCAGAAGTGTGTCATTGTCAAACTAACTTCTAATTTTCACTCACTGCTCCTCTTCTCAGTGGTCGGACTACATTTTCCCTGACATGGCTGTTCCCATCATATAATTCAGAAATTAATTGATTACATACAACAGCCCCAATAACATCATCTGACTCATCAATTGGCATCTCATCTTTAAAAAGCAATTTGGTAAATGATGTTGCAATCACATGTCAAGCTTACGATCTTAAGTGGAACAAAGATGTTGCAAACAGATAATCATACATTACCATCGCTATTAACTGCATATCTTCCAACAACACAGGTTTTGGTGGTTACAGCCTTCCGTTTTTGTCATTTAAATAAATCTAAAGCTTCAAAGGTGGGTGTCATTATTGAACCAATTTTCTCACATGAGTATAATTGGCTCAAGGAGCATTGCATATTAAAATGAATTTATAAGGGTCCTAGAAACAAGTATAGTTTAGGGAATCATAAAATCACTATAATCACTCAATATTGTTTATCAAGAACGCACGTACAGTGTCAATAACATCATCTGACTCACAACTTGGTATCTCTCTTTAAAAAGCATTTAAAGTAGGGAAGAACTTTAGGGAGCACAGGTAAATCTACTAGGTTAATACTCATCAAATCAAAATCTATGCACGTTTTATGCGTGTGTGCCTCATCAACCACAGGAATCTTAGGGTATCTTTGGCTGAAGGTGTGAGAACAATCCGATAAGCACCTGAACGACTTCAATGGCTTCTTTTGTTGTGCTGTGGTTTTTGCCAAGCTTCCTCCACCATACCATCCTCAAAGGTTGCCTGCAATATGATAAACAGAACACAATCAGCAGTCATTTCCAAGGATAGTAACCCACTCAAGCTGATATCACACACCTAGGACCCTAAATCTTCTACACGAAAAGCGTTATGATGTGTCTTGGTTTAATAAGAGAATTTCATAGCTAAGTTCATTTCTAATTCTTTATGAAGCCCTTGGGATTTTGATTAGCATGCCCAAGTCCATATCAAGTACATTCAACATCTTAACAGAATCATCGATTATATAACAGCAGTGTTGAAAAATAAAAATTATGGCAACACTGCATTAACAATTAAAAAGTCAAAATTAACTAGATAGCTTGCCTCATGTATAGAACTGTCGCTCCACAGGATGCTTCAATTACTCCTGGTAAGGCTGGTGTCACCTGAATATATAATCTGCCACCCAGGTATTATTTTCCCACACTATTTAATCTTTCTGCTGCCTTCAAAACAATACCAAATACCTGGGGACAGTGCACCAACAGGAAAACTAACCAAGGTCTCCAGCCCTGCTTCACTGAGCACTTTCTTCAGGCTCTTAGCAATGGAAAGCAGTGCTGTAATCAACTGGACTTCCTGGTCTCTTCCAAA